ACACGAGCTACGCTTTGCGGGTGGGCTACTTCAAGTTGGGCAAGACTATCAAAATCTACGATCATTAACGGCTTTCGTAAAGCTCATATATTGGTCTCGCTACCATCCCCAGCAGTCGAGTGAGCGACATTGAGCTACAAAAAGAAACGATTGATCTACGTTTGATAGATGATAGCGTTGAAGATGTATTGTCCGACGAAGACCTGAATTTCTCCAATGCCGAGTCAGATGTTAACTCGCTCGAATAAAGTTTTACACGCCTTACAAATTAAATCGATTTAATAAATGTTTTTTTACACAAGTCACATATTTGCTTAATACAGGTAACTTTTATGGGCTTGGATAGTCACGGCTGAGTTCAAGAATTTGGCCAGAGCTTGTTGGGTCTTGGCCCGGATAGCCGAAGTAGCCATTGTAGCAAAGCCATTGCAGCAAAGTCCACCTCTCTTAATTCATAGAGGACTGTACCGAAGAGTGCGTACTCCTCAATAAACCGACTGTAGTAATTCAAACTGCCCAAGAAAGATTGCATCGCTCGTAGCGACTGCGGGAAAGAAAAATCCACCAGCGAGGACAGATCCTTAGGATTCGCCTCCAGTCCCTCCTTAGAAACTCGATGACATAAATAGTCTACCTTGCGCATTCCCCAGTAACCCTTCACCACACAGTGTCCATGGTGAAAGCAGGGCTGCCCACCGTCCCAACCGTCCTCGCAGACCGGCCGACTTAAACAGCCAGGCGAGTGTGGAATGTCAAGTCAGGATTGGGATGGGCCTCCCCACCAGCAGGTTATAATTGAGCCCCAACACCCGTAGAAGTGCCAATATATCCTTCTCTACTGCTCCATAATTCAACTCGTTGGGCTTTAGCGTTCGGCTGACAAAGGTAACAGGATGACAGATCCCCTCATACTCTTGTACCAAAGCCGCCGAGATCGCCCAATCGCTAGCATAGACTATCACCGTAGGCTGGCGTTCTGGGTCAAAATGGAGAAGGATGGGCGTCGTCGAAATCCTGCGCCTCAGTTCCGCAAACGAATGGTAAGCTCGGATCCACCGGGGCTCCACTTCGTCTGAGATTCTCTTTGTCAATTCCGTCAGGGTCGGATCCTCCCCCTCTTGGTTCCGGGGTGGATCCAGCTCCTGCTTGAGGTCGCCCCCAACCTCGCGTCATGTAGGTCCACGACCTTCAGGAACAGAGCTTGTTGGGTCTTGGCCCGGATAGCCGAAGTAGCCATTGCAGCAAAGCCATTGCAACAAAGTCCACCTCTCAATTCATAGAGGACTGTACCGAAGAGTGCGTAATCCTCAATAAACCGACTGTAGTAATTCAAACTGCCCAAGAAAGATTGCATCGCTCGTAGCGACTGCGGGAAAGGCAAATCCGCCAACGAGGACAGATCCTTAGGATTCGCCTCCAGTCCCTCCTTAGAAACTCGATGACCTAAATAGCCCACCTTGCGCATTCCCCAGTAACCCTTCACCACACTGATAGAGAGATTCCATTTATTGCACGCCTCCAGTAGGGATGTCACTCTTTCGCACAGCCGATCCCACGATTCCGTCGGAATCACGATATAGGATCTGCGCCCCAGCACGGACGGCGTCCCCAGATCGGCTCGCCTGCTTCAAATGGATCTACTTCCGTATCGCCTTCTCCGGATCCACACCTTTCGGATCTCAGGATCCGAGTATAACCATTGAGCTGGAAACCACGTAGCAAATCTGGCCACTTGTTCCTAGTGGATCTGCCCCGCTGCCAATACCAGTTTCTGGCGGGCCCGGCCAGCAAGTTCGCAAATATCAGACACTTATCTGCATCTGACGTTAACATCCTAGTTTAACATCTTTTGTGCCACCTCGGGCGATATTCCTCTGTGTTTGGTTGGATCGAACCATTGGCGGATCTGGTTGTAGAACTCTTCCATCGGGTACTTGTCCATCAATCCACTTCCCAACTGAACCAACGGGCGCTTCACCACAATTGCGTTATCCTGTGGTGTCGCCGTTGGTCTGTCGTCCGTTCTATCGTAAGCTACCGTAATATCGTGCTTCGTGGATCGGTGATATCCGGTTCCACCCTGGTATCGTGCTCCATGCTCGGTGATCTCCTGTTTATGGTCGGATTCATGTTTGGCCCGTGGACTGTGCTCCATGTTCTACCGATGTGGTTTTGTAGAATTGTTTTTGTGCACGTGTGGTGTAACGGGGTTACATGGTGTGAAACCCACAGGGTACGAAGTACCCGGAGAGTTAACATACTATCAGTACGTAAGTTGGAGAGTTAAGAAGGTCTCTCAGTACGTTGGCTAAAAACCACACGTTATGAATTTGATTACGTTTAACTATGCTAGATAGTTAAACAGATACATTTACCCCTAGGCGGCTTGGCCGCAATAATAGTGAATAAAACACTTCTGGTTTTGAAGCATAAAAGCTAAGGTATTAACTTTGAGCCCTGGTCTTGGGCTGTATGTGTCCTTTGGATAAGGAACTTAGTATTAGTGACTCTTTTAGTCGAACGTCTTCCTCTGACGCTAAAGCTACGGTAGCCCCGCTGCATGCTCTACCGTGGCTTCGAACGTGCGTGCTCTTCCCTAGAGCGTGCTTTTCAGCATGCTGGGGTGTCAATATTTTAGTTCCCTTCCGTGGTACGTACACTCCCGTCATGTTCTTGTCCTTCCAATTTTTATGACTGCGTGCTCTCCCGTAGTTCTTCTTTTTCAGAATAGTGTGGCTTTTGTTGTTTTCGTGCCCATCCGTGCTCCGCTTCCATCCCAGCGTGTACATAATCTATTTTAGTATCCTTCCGTGTTACGTGCTCTTACCTGGTTTCGTGTTTTTCAGTGGCCCCGCGTCAATTTAATCACCCAGTGCGCTTGATGAACGCTACGTAACGTGTTGGAAAGTGCACCAACTATCGCAATTCGCACATTACACGCGCGAATACAAACCAATTATCACAGCTGAGGGAATACGTTTTTTTTGGCGGTGGCGGAGTGGTGTGTGTGTGTGTAGAGAAGCCAAGCCACTACAATCGCATTTAAAAAGTTTCTAGTAATAAATATTAGTAAAAAAACGTGTATTGTTATCTAATGCTGATATATTAATTACGTGTAATACTACATGCAAACATATGAAAGATAAATCTAATTAGTTCTAAACGTACGTAAAACTATAATAAAAGTACTACGAAGTTAAAATACACCATACTTCTAGCAACAAGTACTAAAAGGACTTTTCAAACGAAATATGAGTCACCAGGGGCCACAATTATTTGCAACAGCTGCTGAGACCATATCTTACGTGGGTGCTCATCGGCACCGCCTACCAATGCTAACTAAAGCGCACACAGCCTTTCCGTGGTGTGGCATTCCGCGGTTGAAAGAGTGTGTTGTCTGCCCGTCTGTCTGTCACGGGCTAGGGTTCTAAAATGTAACGCATATACGCGCTATCTACTTGGCTGCCCCATTAGCTAAAATTTACATTATGTAGTGTACACAGTGTATGTGAACTACATATCGTACTTAAAAGTACTGTTCAACTTTCATTTTGCTAGGGGGAGGGGGTGACATGTTCTTCGAAGTACAACATGTACAGAATGTATGTAGCGATACCGCGATTTTCCATACCATGGAACGATGGTACAGTAACATGGATACCGTAATTCGTCATGTTGCGTTTTACAGCCTGAATTTGCAAATTCGAATGTTCAAACTGTACACGTATTACATGTATACTACCGGTACGGAGCAGTGATGGGAAAGCATTACAAGAAGAAAGCATTATGCAAATTTGTATTGAAGAACCACCACGTACATGTAGCAGTAAGAACTGCAATACTAACCAAACTTGCAATATTGATCCGCTACAGTACCACGTCAGCATGTTTGTCAATGGTTTTGATTCAAAACCAGCAACTTCTCGAAGTTGAACGGGATTAAGTGTATTCAAACCGAGAGCAGACACTCCATTACGACCCGGGAGGCGGCTAGAGAAAGTCTGAACAGCTAGCCAGTTCCGTGTGTGTGGGGGGGGGGGGCTTCAGTACAAATTTCTGCCTCGGGCCTTCTAGCAGTATGTATTGCAGTCTTGGAAACGCTTACAACGATAATATGGTCAGTGATTTAGTGCATTCTCTTCTATCGCCTGAGCCATTGAAAACAAAACTTCGAAGTAAGCCCTTTCGAATTCTTACTTTTTATTAAATTGCTTTTTATTCAAACTGCTTGACATTGCCGCATTCAGTTTGAAGCTGCGCTCTCAAAAGCGCTGGTTATCTCTCGCTGTACCTCGTAGTAGCGACGGGTCAACATGAATTGCAAGCATTGGCATTGATCAATACTGGGGCGATTCCCCCACAGCAAAAAGTTTAGGACCCCAGATCTGTCAAGCTCAAAGAATACATCTGGAAGAGGAGTGCCGACCGACCCCCCTTCCAAATTCCACGCCAAAGAGTTTAGGATCATAGAAAAAGACCGTTCTTGCAATTTATTACGCGCTTTAAATTGCCACAAATTACACTTTGGCTCATGGCTCTACCTATTACCAGGGGAAGTAAACCATTCCGTATTACTCACCTGCCTTCTACTCCTCGGCAAAACAAACCTACTACACTCACGACTTAATGGAATAGAGCCACACTACTCGCCTCTATCGCTACTACGTGAAAACTATTGGTACTCATTAGGCTGCCATATTGATTGCGACCCCGCTCCGAATTCATTTCAAGATCTACCAGAAAACACGAGTATGAAGCAGCCATCTCATCGAGGCATCAGCTTTTACTTTACGCTTGTAGCATGGCTACTTGTCTGCTTCTCGATGGGATTCATGGTTGGCAGTTGGACCATTCAAGCACTTGGCGGAGAAGCACACAACGTCCTGCATGCGAGCATGTCGCTCAAGCGTTCTCCAGCCCTCCGACAAAACGATCAGCCTAGCGTCGTGGTGAGCAGTTTGCTTGTTAAAACAACTGAGCGTAGTCGTGAAACTTTAGTAATGGGTGAAGCGTTTTACACATCCAACTTCGATGTCAATGATACTTCGACTACAATCATCTTCAACGTTTTTCGAGGCGAGCCCGAGGCGCTACGGATGCAGCTAGAGGCAGCTTTCAATCAAGAGGATGTGGTGCCGTCGGATGTGTGGGTCATGTGTTTCAATTCGCCCAATCGACTGTTGTACGAAGCCATCGTCAGCGCTATCCGTGTCAAGTATCCCGAACACGACAAGCAACTTAAACTTACAACATCCGACTTCAATCACAAGTTTCACGGCCGCTTCTTGCTGGCGTACATGGCGACGACCAAGTACGTACTGATCGTGGATGACGACCGCCCCATTGATTTCACAACTGTGATCGACTACATTCGGTACATGCAGCACCAGAAGGGTGTTTGGGGAAACTTCGGTCATCGACGATCATCTACTTTCGAAGGCTACAAGAGCTGGCCGTTCGTTGGATACGATCTCTCAGCCACCAATATGGAGGAGCAGGACTATCTCTGCGGCATGTGGTTTCTGGAACAAACGTGGCTCGAGTACTTCATGAAGGAGCGCGTGCCGTCCTGGGCTACATCGGAGGACATGCACCTCTCACATGTGATGAGGAAGTATCTGAATTTGAACACGTATGGGGGAAGGTGGCCCTCTCTGCTCCGTCACTACCCCGTAAGAACTACGCTGCGACCACGGGCTCGGCATTGGATTTAAGAGAGTTCATATTCGACCATCAACTTGGTCGCGGCAACAAGTTGGCGGATGTAGACCAGCCGATTGACACGCTCGTGTACGCTGAGACTCCTCAAGATATCGAGGGTTTCTTACTGAAAATGGATGAGTGTTTGTCAAGTGACGCGGTATACGCCACCAAAGCTTCCGATATGACCCCGTGGTGCAACGTGGGTAGAACTGCTGCAGTTTTCCGTGGTGCCAAGGAGCAAGATGTTAACGGCCTCATCGCAGCCGCCGAGAAGCTTTGTGCTAGAACCAACTGCGTGTACTTTAGCGTCAAGCCCAACATCCAACATGGTATCCGATACTTCAACATGCGCGAAGGCTACGGCCAAGTAAGTACAGACGTGGAAATCCCGTTTCAGACTGGAGCATCAGATGTGTTAGTATCACTGGTGGGCATCCTGAACAATGTATTGCCCGAGAAGTTGTTCGTGCCTGATGTGGAGTCCACGTCGTGGCCGGAGACGGACGCGTCAAAGCACGACCGGCTGCAGATCTACCACAGCACGGTGATACTGGCTATCGATATCCATCGGAACTCCAAGACGAATGGCAAGTGGAGCCACCGCAATGACGAAGCTGAACAGTTTCCTGAGGGAATGGAGGTGTTTGGGTGGCACGTCTAATTGTGGAGTCAATCATAATGAAATGATCCTTTGCCAACAAACTACTTTTCGATGTAAGCTGTCCATTCTTCAATTTTGAAGCTCGCGCCAAGATTTTTTTAACTTCATGTTTTTGTAAAGTTCGGTTTTCTGTTGATCCGGAGGCTCATTGTCGGATGTAGAATACGAACGCGAGATGCGCCGATTGTTGAACGCACAGTCTTAGGACGCTTGATAACGCAATATTTAGTGGAGTGAGATTCATCAAATAATTGATATACATATAGATATTTTTTTTCCATCCAGCGCCACGTCAGGTTCGGGCTCCTTGTACATAGTGCCACACCACTTGGCACATCCCATGATCGGTAGTGGCATCTTGCTCGACGCAACCTACCGCGGTCCACAGTACGCTCGGACCGAGCGTACTGTTTTTACAGATAGGAAAAAAATGTACTAACTTTATAAATGTTCGCGCTTTAGTCTAGAAGGTGCGTGGGGTCATTTAAAGGTTGTTTTGAAACCGACAATGCTAGACGACTCTTTTTTTTCTCGCAAATATAGACCGAGCCTCGGTACCGTCATCTTTGACACCCCCTCGTCGACAATACCAATGACGCCCTTGATACTTCTCGCATCTCAGTGCAGCCCTACTTGAGCATGCAAATAGTTCAATCTCGGCTCTGTCGTGGCGAAACACGCCAGAAATTTACTAGCACACTTTTACACTAACAAGACCTACTAAGTTCCTTTAATTTAGTTACGCTTAATGTGTATAATGAGCTAGAAGGCCCTGGAACTACGCTACCAGTGTAACGGGGTACAATCTGGTTACATAAAGAGTGACCCGTCACTCTTGTGGACACCTGGTACACGGTACCAGGTGCTCTCGGAGCCAGTCAGAGCATGACTACTTAGCTCCACTATAGGTAACCTCTAGATTGTTTGGAACCCAAGCTAACCTTACTTATAAATACATCAGTCTTAAATCAACTCTTCTAAGTAGCAAACCGTTCGCTTTGAGACCGGGAACACGTGGACTAACGTTCACTCGGGTAGTTCATACCCTTAAGCACTTCCTCTGTGCAAGGTGCTGTGTGACCCCGTCACAACCAGGTTGGGATGTCTCCTGTGCACCGTGTTTCCCGCTGGCAATCCACCGAAAACTCAACACTACTAACCACTAGAAAAGGCTAGAGTCTTCTTCTTCTTTTTTTCATCTTTTTCTTCTTCTTCCTCTCTCTCTTTCTCTCTCTACCAAATATATCTCGCAGTCCCTATAACGTTAGGGTACCGGACGTGTTTCAGACCTGATACGGGGGTGTCGGAGTCAAGCTCCGAACAAAACGTAATATAAGGATAGCGCACAAGCTTATCCAACACACAGCGATGACTCGATATCAAATACACCGCCAGTCTACCCCTCTTCTCTTGGCCCTACTGGGATGATCACTAAGCTACCACGAGTAGGAGTTCTCACCGACAGTCATGTCCAGCCTTCCAAAACTACCCGCCACTACCGCGTACTCACCGAATGTCGGACGTGCCCTTGTGTGGCTGAGAGTAAATGCTGTTATGTTCTTTGAGCACAGAGACTCTTAATGTAATATATAAATCCCACTATCAATCAAAACAAATGTGGCGAAGTGCTTTCTCAGAAATGAGAGGTGGGACCTGACAAGAGGTCACTATCACAGATTAATGACTGGGGTGAATCTGGATTGCTTGACGTGGATCCATACTGCTCGAAGTGGATTTGGTCGAGGTAAAGTGGTATCCCATATGGGTCGACGGTGTGAATCGGCGATAAGAGATGAAAAACGATGGATCTGGGGATAATAGTGGCTCACAGTATGAAGAACGGCAAGAGGAACATGGTTGGTGGCAGTATAGCTGAGATCAACCAAGTGGAGACTCGGATCCACTCTAACCCAATTGTACCGAGGGACATGAGATATACCATGTGCGGATGAATCGAGTGGGGATCCTATGGAGGAAAGGGTGTGGGCGCCATATGGAGGTGGATCTGGTATTAACAACAAAAGAAAAGGCAAGACCCACCGCTAGATGCCCCAGATCCCACTTCCCCCAGTTTGGATCCAAGGGATTGAGGATCCCACACAGAGTGACTTGGATCTATGATATTGGGTCGGTGGATCCAACGGATCTCGAGCTTTCATGGAGCGATGGAGACCACAGACATTCGTAATATGGTGTTGGATGGTCGGAGGGCTTAGATCCGCGATGAAGTGTACACTTGCAGTAAGGTGGATTAAAATGACTTGGATCCGGGACAGTGTACCCATAATACGGCGACCTCATTATGATTACGCCATGGATCCGGTGGGTCTGATGCTGATACAGCTGATGTGATGGACCAAGGAGAGAATAGGTAGGCAGCCAACCCTGGTAGGGAGTTTAGCAGGTAAAAAACATAGAATGTAGAAATCCAGGCAGGTATAGCCTTAACAATGAATCAGAACTCAATTTGCACAGTGTTACGCAAGTGCCTTCCCGTCCTCAAGAATCGGAGCTACATTGGCCGTACGAGCTCTGTAACGGGGTTACATGGTGTGGAACACACAGGGGTACGAAGTACCCGGAGAGTTAACAAACTCTCAGTACATAAGTTGGAGAGTTAACAAGGTTTCTCAGTACGTTGGCTAAAAACCACACGTTATGTATTTGATTAGGTTTAACTATGCTAGATAGTTAAATAGATACATTTACCCCTAGGCGGCTTGGCCGCAATAATAGTAAATAAAACACTTCTGATTTTGAAGCATACAAGCTAAGGTATTAGCTTTGAGCCCTGGTCTTGGGCTGTAAGCGTCCTTTGGATAAGGAACTTAGTATTAGTGACTCTTTGAGTCGAACGTCTTCCTCTGACGCAAAAGCTACGGCAGTCCCGCTGCACTTGGTAGCACTTGTAGTCAATCCCGCTCCTGAGTCGGTTGACTAAATCCTCTGCGAGGATGGAACACCCCGTGTTCGCGAATTTGCCCCCGGCGCAGCAGGACGCACTTACTAAGCTTATGTCCTTGCTTGGCCCGAAGGGCGCTCATCTTGCATCGCAAGGTCCAGAGGCGGTCACGGCCAGGCTGGAATCGTTCTCTCGCTACGAGAACGCGCTCTTGGAGCACGTCCAAGAGAAGATGAGCGCCGCAACGGTGGCGGAATCGATGACGCGTGAAGATTCTATGAGACTGAAACTGCTCATGGTGAGCGTAAAAACCTTCGAGGGGAAGGATGGAGAGAATATCCTCCTCTGGACCCGTGAGGTCGAGATGGCCATGGGATCGGCCCTGCTTCAGTCTGAGCATCAGCGCGGGGCGCTGGCTATCTCCAGGCTTGGAGGTCGCGCTCGCGAATGAACACTAACGTGCGGCACGTCTGTTGACGCTGCATTCCCCACTTGGGATCAGCTGAAGCTACAGCTTTCGCGCGTGTTCGCGCTGCCTAATCAGACGTACCGTATCCGGTCGAAGCTCCTTGCTACCCGCCAGGAGTAAGAAGGATTTATCGGACTATGTCCAAGAGTTAAGAACTCTTATCGCCGGAATGGCGGCGGACCCTCTTCGGACTGGTCAGCGTGAC